CTTTATGTTTCTGTGTGGGAACAAACTGTTGAAATCTTTACTTAATATATGCTAAACTGATCTTCTGTATATAAAGGAAATCAAAAATGAATCTTGATGTGAATGGAAGGGGAGAGGGCGTGGGAAAGGGGAGGGTTGCAGGTGGGAGGGATGTTATGGGGGGGGAAGCCATTGTAATCCATAAGCTGTACTTTGGAAATTTATATTCATTAAATAAAAGTTAAAAAAAAGATTAAAATAATGCAACATATAAAACTTATGAGATACAGAAAAAGCAGTGTAAAGAGGGAAGTTTATAGAAACTGGTACCTACATCAAGAAAAACAACAAATGAAACCCCAAATTAGTAGGAGGATAGAAATAACTAAAATTAAAGACTAAATAAACAAACTGAAACCACATAACATACAAAATGTCAGTGAAACCAAGAGGTGCTTTTTTGAAGAAATAAGCAAAATTTTTACAACACTGGCCAAACTAACCAAAAACAAGAGGGAGAAGACCCATGTCAATAAAATCAGAGATGAAAAAGGGAATGTAACAGATAGCACAGGAAAAAAAAGATCAATAATTATTACACAGAGATCTATGTCAAAAAATCAGAAAACCTAGAGGAAATGTATAGATTTCCTGGACATATACACTACCAAACTAGTGATGAAGACATAGAACACCTAAACACACCAAAAACTAAGATGGAGATTGAATCAGTAATAAATACCCCCCCCCCCCCCAACAAAGAAAATCCCAGGATTGGGTTGCTTCATTGTGGAATTCTATCAGAAATATAAAGAACTAATTCCAATTCTTCTCAAGCCAATCAGAACAATTGAAATGGAGGGAATACTCCCAAACTCTTTCTATGAAACCACCATCACCCTAATTGCTAAACCAGAAAAAAACACTACAGAGAAAGAAATCTATAGACTTATGTTCCTGATGAACATAGACACAAAAATCCTCAACAACATTACTGGCTAATTGAATTCAATAACACTTAGGAAGGATAATTCACCCAGACCAAGTGGTATTATCTCTGGTATGCAGGGATAGTTCAACATTCATACAACAAGACAAATACCATATGTTTTCCCTGAAACTTGGTAACTAGTAGAATGAAAAGTAACCTATAGAAGTAAAATTGACATTTTGAAATTTAGTGATTGTTTACAGCCTTTGTCTCAACTACTGAGAAATAGTGTTCTTTTCTTCATATGTTTTGTATTCTTTAGTTAGTGTAGCATTTATTAAAAAAGAAAAAAATTCCAATAAAATTAGAGCTGAAAAGGAGACATTACAACAAACACTACTGAAATACAAAGTATACAAAATTGCTAATAAGTCTACAAAATATGCTAATAAACTGGGAAAGCTTGATAAAACTTCTAGATACATATATAACCTACCAAAATTAAATTAAGTAGAAATATAGATAATTTAAACAGACCCATTTTTTAAAACTTTTATTTAATAAATATAAATTTCCAAAATACAACTTTTGGATTATAGTGGCTCTCCCCCCATAACCTCCCTCCCACCCACAACCTTCCCATCTCCTGCTCCCTCTCCCATCCCATTCACATTAAGATTCATTTTCGATTATTTTTATATTCAGAAGATCTATTTAGTATATACTAAGTAAAGATTTCAACAGTTTGGACCCACACAGACACACAAAGTACTATTTTGGTACTAGTTATGCCAGTACAACACATTAAGGACAGAGATCCTACATGGGGAGTAAGTGCACAGTCACTCCTGTTGTTGATTTAACAATTGACACTCTTATTTATGACGTCAGTAATCACCCGAGGTTCTTGTCATGAGCTGCCAAGGCTATGGAAGCCTCTTGAGTTCGCCAACTCTGATCTTATTTAGAAAAGGCCATAGTCAAAGTGGAGTTCTCTCTTCCCTTCAGAAAAAGGTACCTCCTTTGATGGCCCATACTTTCCACTGGGATCTCACAGAGATCTTTCATTTAGGTTTTTTTTTTTTTCTACAGTGTCTTGGCTTTCCATGCCTGAAATACTCTCATTGGCTTTTTAGTCGGATCTGAATGCCTTAAAGGCTGATTCTGAGGCCAGAGTGTAAACAGACCTATATTTAAGCAAAGATATTGAAGCAGTAATCAAAAGTCTTCCATCAAGGAAAATCTGGAATCTAAAAGATTTACTACCAAATTCTAAAAAACATTCAAAGGGAATGTAACTCCAATGTTTTTCAAACTATTCCAAAATATTGAACAGGATGCTCTTTATGAACTCCTTATGAAGCCAACATCACTTTGATACCAAAAGCAAAGACACAACACAAAGGAAAACTACAGGACAATGCACTTAATGAACACAGATGCAAAGATATTCAACAAAATGATAGCAAAATGAATCCAAAAACCACGTCATGACAAAGTGGGATTAACTCAGAAATGCAAGCATGGGTCAACATTCATAAATCAATACACATCATAAACCACAACAATAGAATGAAGAACAAAAACCATACAGTCATCTCAGTAGATGTAGAGAAGGCACTTGATAAGATTCAACACCTTTCATGATAAAAAAAACACACAAATTAGTTATAGGAGGAACATACCTCAAAATTATAAAGGCTACATTTGACAAACCAACAGCCAATATTGCATGAGGAAAAGCTGAATGCAATTACCCTCAGAACTGGAACAAGACAAGGATGTCCACTTTTGCCACTCTTACTCTAGCAAGAGCAATTGGGGAGGAGAAATAATGCAAAGAAAGCAGAAAGTCAAATTATCCGTGTATGTAGATTACATTTTTTTTTGTACATGGAGAAACCTAAACACTCCACCAAAAAAAAAAAAAAAAACCCTATGAGAATTGATAAACCAATTCAGTACAGTTGCAGGTTACAAAATAAACATACAAAAAACAGCTGTTTTTTATAAGCTAATAATCAACTCACTGAAAGAGAAATCCCATTCACAATAGCCACCAAAAATCAAATATTTATTAATAAATTTAACCAAAGAAGTGAAAGATATTTAAAATGGAAATTATTAAAAATTGATGAAAGAAATTATCAAGGACAAAAAAGGAAAGATAGTCCTTGCTCACGGATTGGAAAAATCAATATTATTAAAACCATTAAAATGTCTATACTCCTTAAAGAAATCTACAGATTCAGTATAATCCTTAGCAAAATAGCAATGACATTCTTTGCAGAATTAGAAAAAGCAGTCCTAAAGTTCATATGGAATCACAAAAGACTCAGAATAGCCAAAGCAGTTCTGAGCAAGAAAAATCAAGTGAACACATCACAACATATGACTTCAAAGCATACTACAAAGCTATAGTAATTAAAAAAGCATGGTACTGGCATGAAAATTAATACAAAGATCAAAGGAACAGAATAGAAATCATTCCACATGCATAAAGCCAACTGTGGAAAATAGTGTAGACATTTCTTTAAAAACTATAAATAGACTTTCCACATGATTCAGCAATTTCACTAGTGGGTGTATAACCAAAGAAATGAACACATTGTATCATAGATACCTGCACTGTCATATTTATAGCAGCACTGTTTACAACAGCCAAAATTCAGAATCAACCAAGGTAGCTATCATCAAATGACTGGATAAAGAAAATGTTTTTATATATATATATATATATATA